AAATGGCTATAAAAAATAAAGTTTATTTTTTCAAACACCACGACCACCACGACGCACCACCACATCTACAGATAACACCACCACACAAACAGATGCACCACAAACAATTTTAGAAAACACAAGACTCGAACTATCCACCGTCACTATACCACCTCCTCCTCCACTTTCAAACACACCTAAAAAATCCACCACCACCACCTCTACAATAAAATAGGCGAGAAGACCCAAATATCGCTACCACCTCCTACTTTAGAGTCAAATCACCACGACCATCACCTAAAATCATCGTCTCTCGTACCAAATGTAAATCACCATAACTGCAAATTTACCCCACCCACAGAGCTACCATTGACACCAATCAAATGTCGTGCTACCTCACCCCATCACCACCACCAGCACCATTACTGCCAATACCACCAAAATCTCAGCCACCAAGTCCTAAACCAACTCCACCTTCACCACTTATTTCTTCCCCACCACCACAAATGTACTCACCTCTACCAAGGTTAATACCATAAATAGTCATTGAACTTTGTCAAAAGTTCTCATGAGGTCAACGAACTTCAAAAATTCCCTGAATAGTCACTGAACTTTGCAATAAGATCCTAGGAGGTCATTGAACTTGGTTAATACCCTAAATAGTCACGAACTTTGCCAAAACCTCTCAAGAGGTCACCAAACTTTGTAAATTAAGACTCCATACATCAATGGTTCATTGACTAATTAGGAACTTTTTGCAAAGTTGAGTGACTATTTAGGGAAGTTTTGGCAAAGTTCACTGACTATTTAGGGTATTAACGAAGTTCAGTGACCTCTTAGGAATTTATTGCAAAGTTCAGTGACTATTTTGGGAACTTTTGAAGTTTTATGACCTCTTGGGAACTTATTGCAAAGTTCAGTGACTATTGAGGGTATTAACCCCCTCTACCACCACCATACTCACCTCCGCCACCAATCTCCTCCCCACCTCCGACATCTAAATTCCCACCTCCTCTGCCTGCAGTACAATCAACACCTAGTGGCTGATTAATCGGACCAGAAGTTGCAACCCGTTGGAAACAAAAAGCAACTCCTT